CGCCATAGGAGGCGACAACTAGGGCAGGCACGGGGGCAGGCACTAGTGGCAGGCACAGGCGACAGGCTAGGGCAGCAGCCAGCGGGCGGCGAGCCACAGGCGGCAGGCAACTGGCGGCAGGCAGCCTGCGGCAGGCAACTGGCGACAAGCACCTAATGTGAGAGTGCGCCGTCAATTCTGTCTTGAATTACGTTATTCCTACTTTCTATTTCGATTTCTGCACATAGTTCCTATTTCTATTTCGAATTTAGATTGTACCACCGAGTAGGATTGCATGTATCGGATTTGACTGTTTTCTAGAATTATCTCTCATGACCTAGCATGTGCGTGATTATTCACCGAATGACTTTACCAATTTCGGGAAGGCACTTTTCCCGATGGTTCTAGAGCCTTGGTACTTTCTAGTAACACCAGGATTATCTGCCTGGTATCGTGCCTATATATAGCCATGACCTTGTACGTAGGTATGTTATTGAATACTTAACTGAAATCTCGATCCTCTCACACTTGGTTATCAGAGCCCGCTTACACTTCAGTTTTCGTTCGCTACTAACACTGTCTATAAAGACCGTCAGGGGCGACGATGGCCACGCCGATTTGGGTACGTAAAAACCAGTTCCGCGTCTGGCTTTTAATCCCTCGTATGGTTAACGGAACAGGCATGGAGGGCACGGGCGACAACTACATTCAAGAAATCGCGCAAAGTCGTGTCGAGTAGGGTTAGACACGTGCAGAGCTCCAGCGAGTTGCCAATCTACTTGCGAACCAATCGGCAACCGCATCGATAGCAGCAGCGACTGCAGCATTACCACTATATACCCGTGAAAGCGGCTACGACAACCACTGTACATCTCGAGGCTCTGGAGCCGAGGCTACTAGAGACGTTAGATTCAAGCGAGCGAGGTAGCGACGTCTGTCGATTCGTCGCAACACTCGAGATCTACTTCGAAGTCGTTGGGTGCACGGCCCCGAACCAAGACACAACTCGAATATGGCTCGGAGCGACACTGTTACGGTGCCTAGCACTCGAGAGAACATACACCTAGTTTCTCCTGGTAGCGTCGTTACCGTGTTCGTTAAGGACGTGGTGGAGATCGGGGCGATCTCAGGCTGATTCTGTCGATCTACTTCTATCCTTAGTTTCCTAGAATCCACGTGTGCATTTCTAGGCAATCGGGGGGCAATCTCTCGACCCGACGCAATTGATTGCAATCGATTTTGATCCTTCGATTGTGTAAGATTGGGCCTCCTAGTGATACTCATGATGAGTAACTGCCCTAAAAAATTCGCTTTAGCTCGCAGCTACAGTCTATTAAGACGCGGGCCCAATTGACTTTGATCTCCTCGATCAGAGGCGATCAACAACTTCCTGGAAGCCTGGATGCCAATTTCAGGCAATCGGAGGCAATCAGCTGATCGCGATCAGCTGATTGCCCCAGCTCGATCTATCGCCCCAATCAACCCAATTGAACACAATTCTTCTCAATCACCCTCGATCACTTAATTGCATGTGATTGGGGACCATAGCGATGCTTGCAAAATGTTACACGATGCTACTAGGTCTCGTTAACCCATCGCTCATATCGTGCGCAGAGAAAAGTCCGGCGCCTATGATTTCACCTGTTTTTTCCGACAAATGCTTAGCAGGTGCTGCCAAAGAATCCATTGGCGATGACATCATCATCGACGTCCACCTCGTGGGTCAGCTGGCTCCGCCTGTGCGCCATGGCGAGCCCGTCCTCGCTGCCGTCAAACGCGTTGCTGATGCCGCAGGTGAGGAAGGCCTTCTTGATGAGATCGGGTGGCACGGCCTTCCAGGCCCGCGAGATCCACCTGAGGACCACCGCAGGGGGCGGCTTCTTGATGTTTCCTGCACAACAAGCCAGAGTAGGGCAGAAGCCATTAAGACAACAACCGGGGTGAAATACAAAACACAGCACAACTGATCAACGGTGGGTGTCTTACCTTCAGGCGTCAGCCGCTCGATGCCCTCCTCTTGAAACAAGTTCTGGTACTGCTGGCGGATGGACGCCTTGAAGGACTTGTTGACCGAGACATCGAGCGGCTGCACCTCTGCCGTACAGCCAGACGGGATCACCGCCGGCACGATGTCGAGGTCGGCGAACTTCTGTTTTACATCGTGTGTGAGGTGGCCGCGGTACGAGTCCAGAACGACCATCGCGCTCCTCGCCTGCCTGCCAAACCGGGGCCGTGTGAAGGGCTTGATGCACTCGTCGAGCCAGTGCATGACGCCGTTTGCGTCCATCCAGCCGTTCGGGTGCACCGCCACCACCACATCTGCGATATCACGAGCAAGTATGCAAAATTCTGTTAGTTACAACACGGAGAAAACAACACAAACATGCGCGACCATCATCTGTTCTTACCTGGCGGAAAATCACCCTTCGGCACCGTCTTCCGCTTGAAAAAACCCACGGCTTCAGTTTCTCCCCGTCGGCCGTGCACGCCAACATAACGGTCACGCGTTCCTTCTGGTACCCCGCGCTCCTGATGGGCACCGAGCAAACTCCCGTATGGTCCACAATGGTGGTGGCGGGCATCTCGAGCCAAAGCGGCGTCTGGTCGGCGTTGATAATCCAGCGGGTTTCGATGTCGCGTTCACGTTGCTTGTCACGCACGAATTGCCAGAAGTTCTAGCACTGCTCCGCAACATCTGCGAACCATGGAGACGTAGAAGGGGACAGGTGGGTTTGCAAACATGGCGAAACGGTTCTTACGGGCGGCGGTTTTCTGGGCGATTTTCGTCTTCATGCGCATGCTCAGATGCCACCTCTTCCGAAACCGCTCCGACCACCGTTGGCTCCCCTTCCATTTCACGTCGGGGAAAAGCACCTTCATGAATTCCCTTGACCACTCCTGCAGGCGACCGACGGAGACGGCAGTTCCCTTGCGGCGCCACTCGAGTAGCCTAGCGTAAACCTTCAGCTTCATCGGCCTGTACCAGGAGGCCCTCCCACGGCCGTGCATACGCTTCCGCGCGGAGTGTGCTTCCTTGAGCATCGCGGCGGCTCTCTTCCACTCCGAGAGGCACTTGCGGTGGATTCCCGATTCGCGAGACAACGCTCGCACCGATACCGCCACATCCATGCGTCCAATCCACTTGAGCTTCTCCTACGCGGTATAAGCGTTACGCTTATGCAGAGAGGGCTTGTGCCTAGGAGAGGGGGGGCGAGCATCGCGGTTCTCAGAAGCAGGGTGGGGACGCTTGCGATTAATCGGCGGAAACGATGGAATCGGTAGTTTTTCAGGGAGTCCGTCGCGCGACCAATACTCCACGCCGTCGTCGTCGTCGCCGCCCGGGGCGCCCTCGGGAAAGACATCTTCCGCGGTGCCAGCCTCCGGGCCAGCGGGACACTCCTCATCGGAGTCCGCCACGTCGTCGTCAGCGCCCACAGCAGATTCGTCCCACGTGCACCCTTCTGGCCCGCCCCGGCGTGGTGCTGGCGCTGGCACTTCTACGTACTCATCTGGGGCCTTGTTGAGTTCAGGTTCAGAGAGGTACTCGTCGAACGCCGATGGGTTCAGGAGTGTGAGCACGGGGGGATTCGGAGGAGCAGGAGGAGCAGGCGGTGCAGGAGGCGCTGGAGGAGATGGCGCCGCAGGTGGCTCGGGAGGATGTGGTGGCACTGGGGGCTCCGGTGGGACACGGCTATACCAGCCGTCCTCAGTAACTCGATACGCGGGCCTAGGCATCTTTGAAGAGAAAGTGCGTGCCAGTGAATTCCGCCATGGCTTCCGCAGCCTGGCGGGCGAAACAGGAAAATGAATCAGAAAGTGCAAGAATGGGAGAAGAGAAATGGACTTCCGAGGGGACCCCTTCGAGGGAGCGGCTCGAGCTCCTCGTCAATGTGAGACGGGTACCCCCTGCCTGAACCCGCAGAGGAGGGTTCGCGGCACCTCACATGCTGCGCTGGCATGGCATATTCGTGCCCTTTCTAGAAGGGTCGGACGAGATGCTCCTGGTTGGCAACGCATGCGAAGGTGATTGGGACGCACGGCAGGTTACGCGTCAGCCCTGGCTTCGGGACGGGTTTTGTGCGGTGGGAAATCGAGTCGCTGCTGTTTTCGCCTGTTTTTCATGCGCGAACCCACGATAACGTTTCACATACGTGTTCGCCTTAATGTGGGCTTCGATTTGGTACCCTTTAAAACAAATTTCATTGTTTTCCTTTATAAACGCGCATGCGCTTATGCCCTATACGCATTTACAAGCGCCCCCTTTAAAAAGGTTGATTTTATTATAAGCGCATATGCGCTACAATCCGGGGTGATACGGTACATGTATCTTTGTCATTTTACCGTATTAGCGCACGCGCTTATATATCTATCTTAATCAGTTAGAAGTGCACCCCCTGAAAAAACGCGTTATACTATTATAAGGGTACTCTTTCTCGTCAGGTCAATATACTCATTTGCTTTTTCTCATAAGGGTCCTACAGCAACAGCTCTGAAAAATAACGAAGCAAGGGTACATAACTACTCTCCCCTAGTATGTGTCACAAGGGTAATTCACCTAATAAAGCTGCGGTCTACATACCTATAGCGGGAGGCCTCAGATTATCACTTGAAAACAGGGTGACCAGTTTTTGAACTCGGCCACCTTTCCTGCAAAGCTAACGGTTTAGACGGGTGGATGGAGGGGGTTGGGGTTCTTTCCGCCTGAAACAGAACTCCCCAGTTTGTTTCCCGCCCTTCCGCAGACCCTCCCCCAAACTACGCGTCAGCACGAAATTGGGTTGGATTCGCGTTTCCTGTCTGAGTTCGTCTGCTGCGGCGTTTCTGAATCGGTTGACTTCGTTCTCCAATCAAAACGCACGAAAGGGTGGGCATAAAAAATACACCCAAAAAACACCACTTAGTATGTAGACCGCAGCTTTAAACAGAGGCCTAGAGCAATGTGCATTGCTTCTCCTCACACAGCCTGGCGTCATCCAGCAGAGGCTCTACACTGCGGTGTCAACCTGGCGGCGCGTGTGGAGTCAGCAAGAGCGGCAGAGAGCAATGGTGGCGTCACGTGATGCTGAGCACAGTTGGCCGTCTGGCGTGAACACCAGTGCTGTCACCTGCATGCATGCACGCATGGACACACGGGTGCATGGGCGCATGGACGCAGGGATGCATGGATACATGGATACATGGATGCATGGATGCATCGGTGCATGGGTGCATGGATAGATGGATACATGGATACATGGATACATGGATGAATAGGTGCATGGATGCATGGGTGCATGGATGCATGGGTGCATGAATGCATGGATACATAGATGCATGGGTCCATGGGTGCATGGATGCATGGATGCATGGATGCATGGATGCATAGGTGCATGGATGCATAGGTGCATGGTCATATGGACTAATGGATGGACGGATGCATGGGTGCACGGGTGCATGGTAGCAAGCGTGCTAAACGGAGAGTGATAAAGCATACAGCAGCAGAGTGGTGGGTGAGCTGGGCGGCAGGGCGAGGCGTGTGATGGAGGGCACAGTCGTAGAGGCGCACGCTGCCATCCCACCCCCCCGTGGCCGCAACTCCACCCGCGGGGTGCAGAGCGATGGCAGCGGTGCCGGGCTGCTGTGACCGCACTCGCTTCACCGCCTCCATGCTGCCCTGCAGGGGGTACAGGGGCGCATAGGGGGGGAAAACGGGACACAGGGGGGGAAGGGGGGCACAATAAGGGGCACAGTGGCGGGGCACAGGGGCGCACAGGGGGGCATGGGAAGGCACAGGGGGGCACAGGACGCACAGGGGGACACAGAGGGGCGCATAAAGTGGGAAATGGATAGGCATGGAGGAAAAGGGAAAAGGTGAGCACTGTGCGAGGATAATGTGATGCCACGTCGGGTAACTGAGCAGTGGCGGACACCTGCTGCAGTGACGTGTGCAGTGATGGGTGCTCTGAGGGGTGCTGTGAGGGGTGCAGTGTGAAGGGGGCTTGCGAAGTTGCAAAGGGTGTGAGGGTGGAGCGAGGGTGCAAGGAGGGCGGGTTGCACCTGGGAGAGGTGGAGGGCGGGTTGCACCTGGGAGAGGTGGAGGGCGGGTTGCACCTGGGAGAGGGAGAGGCGGAAGAAGACGGTGTCCGTGTCCGCCCCGCCTGACACACCGTGCTCCGCACTGCTCCACACCGCCATGCTCTGCACTGCTGCCCGCCACACAGGGGGTTGGCAGGCATGGGGGGTGGCAGGCATGGGGGGTGGCAGGCATGGGGGGTGGCAGGCATGGGGGGTGGCAGGCATGGGGGGTGGCAGGCATGGGGGGTGGCAGGCATGGGGGGTGGCAGGCATGGGTTGCTCAAACCGAGGTGCGAGTGAGAGGAGTGGCACCTACGTGGAAACGAGCAATGGGACAGAAACAGGCGCTTTGAGTGCCGCCCACCTGGCTGGGAGTGCAGGCGCGCGGCAGTGAGAGGGCGGTCGGGGCGGCGCACGTCCCACAGGGCCATGCGGCCGTCCTCGTAGCTGCCCGGTGCACAGGGGAGACGAGTGGGTGTGGGGGAGGTTGAGGGGGATGAGGAGGGTGAGGGGGGTGAGGAATGTGAGGAGGGTGATGGGGGTGAGGGGTGTGAGAAGGGTTTAGGCAGTGAATGGTGGGAGAGGTGAGGGAGGTGAAGAGAGTAAGGGACATGAGGGGGGTGAGTCCGGGTACAGTGATGGTTGTGGCAGGTGCGGGAATGAAGCAGTGAGCGGCAGGGAGAGCAGCGCAGGCAGCCCGGGCAAGGTGGGTGAGCGCAAGGTGGGTGAGCGCACCCGGCGAGCAGGAAGAGCGCGGGGGAGACAGAGGGGCTGAGGGCGAGGTGCAGCGCCATGGGAAGGCCTGGTGGGGTTGGGGCGACGAGGGGCGTGCAGAGGAGAGAGAGAGTGGTGGTGAGGTCAGGAAGAGAGAGATTGCAGAGACGTTTTTCGTTAGCAGTGAGTGGAGCAGAGCAGGGGAGATACTCTTGACCTGATTGTGAAACCAGGGGAAAGACTCTCTGCTCTACGACGGGGAAAGAGGGAGGAGATGCAGCAAGGGCAAGGAGCGCACCGGCAGATGCAGCGGAGTGGGGGTGGGGGGGCGGCGTGGGGGAAGCCTTGAGGCGAGCCGATGGAGAGCGCGCGGCGCGTGGGATGGCGCAGGTCCCACAGCGCCACCTGGGTGGCATGGCGGGGGGCATGTGGGGGGCATGGGCAGGGAGGGGAGCATGTGGGGCAGGGAGGGGGGCATGTGGGGAGGGGACGAGGGGCATGTGGGGAGGGGACGAGGGGCATTTGGAAAATGGGAAGAAACCGTGGGGGGCAGGGAAAGGGGCGTGTGGGCAGAAAAGGGGGCGTGTGGGCAGAAAAGGGGGCGTGTGGGCAGGAAAGGGGGCGTATGGGCAGGGGAGCATGGGGGCAGGGGGGCATGAGGGCAGTGAATAGGAGCATGAAGAGTGAGTGGGGTCGAATGCGCAATGCATACAGTGCAGTTGTCGTCACACGGAGTTGCCAACACAGCAGGCACTTGCGCACCACTTGCTGCTACCCCCACCTCCTCCCTTCCTCGCCCGTCCTCGCCTGTGCCACCCCCTTCCAATGCCTCCCCTTCTCCCCTGCCGCCATCGCCCCTGCCGCCATCGCCCCTGCCACCCTCCACCGCTCCAAGCGCACCACTCAACAGCCCCCTGCGTGGCCCCCCACGCCCTCGCCCCTCGCCACCCCCCCCATCACCTTCCCCCGCCTGCTCTGCCCCACCAGCACCTGCCTCTGTTGCACTGGGCTCACTGGGAGCGGCGGCGGCAGTGCACGGGGCTGAGACCGGCGCACCGTCAGAGGGTGGTGGTGGTGGTGGTGGGAGGGAGGGGACAGGGGAGGCGAGGGAGGGCAGAGCCATGCGGCAGAAGGTGAAGGCGCCCGTGTGGATGGCGAAGAGCGGTGACGGGGGCGCTGCACTGCTGCTGCTGCTGCTGCTCGCAGAGGTGACACTCTCCACCGCCCAGCACCGCACCACACCGTCCCGGCCCTGCCTGCCTGGTCACAGAGGAAGGCGTGCAGTGAAGGCAGAGAGAGGGGAAGGGAGGAGAGGAGCTGTGAGGGAGAGTAGTTGTGGACGAAAGGAGGAGGGCTGTGCTGTTGGGGATAGAGGGGTCTAAGGAAGGTAAGATGCTGTGTGTTGGTTCAGGAGAAGCAACGAGGGGGCCACACATCACATGCATCACATGCATCACATGCATCACATGCATCACACACATCACATGCATCACATCACATGCATCACATGCATCACACACATCACATGCATCACACACATCACATGCATCACATGCATCACACACATCACATGCATCACATGCATCACACACATCACATGCATCACACACATCACATGCATCACACACATCACATGCATCACATGCATCACACACATCACATGCATCACATGCATCACACACATCACATGCATCACATGCATCACAAACATCACATGCATCACACACATCACATGCATCACATGCATCACACACATCACATGCATCACATGCATCACATGCATCACATGCATCACACACATCACATGCAACACATGCATCACACACATCACATGCATCACATGCATCACACACATCACATGCATCACATGCATCACACACATCACATGCATCACACACATCACACACATCACATGCATCACATGCATCACATGCATCACACACATCCCACACATCACATGCATCACATGCATCACACACATCACATGCATCACATGCATCACATGCATCACATGCATCACACGCATCACATGCATCACATGCATCACACACATCACATGCATCACATGCATCACATGCATCACATGCATCACACACATCACATGCATCACATGCATCACACACATCACATGCATCACATGCATCACACACATCACATGCATCACACACATCACACACATCACATGCATCACACACATCACACACATCACATGCATCACACACATCACATGCATCACATGCATCACACACATCACATGCATCACATGCATCACACACATCACATGCATCACACACATCACATGCATCACACACATCACATGCATCACATGCATCACACACATCACATGCATCACATGCATCACAAACATCACATGCATCACACACATCACATGCATCACATGCATCACACACATCACATGCATCACATGCATCACATGCATCACATGCATCACACACATCACATGCAACACATGCATCACACACATCACATGCATCACATGCATCACACACATCACATGCATCACATGCATCACACACATCACATGCATCACACACATCACACACATCACATGCATCACATGCATCACATGCATCACACACATCCCACACATCACATGCATCACATGCATCACACACATCACATGCATCACATGCATCACATGCATCACATGCATCACACGCATCACATGCATCACATGCATCACACACATCACATGCATCACATGCATCACACACATCACATGCATCACATGCATCACACACATCACATGCATCACACACATCACACACATCACATGCATCACACACATCACACACATCACATGCATCACACACATCACACACATCACATGCATCACATGCATCACACGCATCACATGCATCACATGCATCACACACATCACATGCATCACACACATCACATGGTAAGGCAGGGCAGGGCAGGGAAGGCGTACGTGAGAAGGGAGTGAGCGAGCGAGGGAGCCGCAGAGGCGGGCGGCACGGCGTCCATGGCGATGATGCCCGCATGGCCCCCGATGATGCCCGCATGGCCCCCGTGCACCCTGCCGTGCGGGCGAGGGCGGGGGGACATGGGGCGATCAAGGTTTGAGTGAAAAAAGAATGGAGAGGGACGGGAATATGGAGAGAGAGAGGAAGAAAGGATGGGAGGAAGTGGTGGGTAGGGAGGGAGGCGTGTGGGGGCGAGGACGAAGGTCCCTTTCCCTCTCGTCCCCTCGCCTGCTGTCAGCACGCCCCCCCCCCCCCCCCCCCTCTCTTCCCCCCTCCCCTCCCGCACGCCCCACACACAACGCACCGTCGTGCCCTCATCCCCCCCCACCTGTGGCTTGCCACGGGTCGGTGTGTGGCGAGGCTCCACGCCCTCACCTCGCCCTCCATGTCGCTGCCGCCCGCCCGTTGCACCGCGCATGGCCGGGGGGGGTGTGGAAAGGGGGGAGTGAAAAGGGACCGGAGGGGAGTGAGGGGAGTGAAGAGTATGATGAGCGGGGGAGTGGGGGTGGAATTGGAGTGAGAGGTGAGGTCAGGGGGACGGCGATAACGAGGGGGCAGGTCGAACGGGGTGGCGAGGGATGGGAGGGGGGAGTTGGGCACGGGAAAAGAGAGGCGAGTGGCGGGCGAGTGGGGGGCGAGTGGGGGGCGAGTGGGGGCGAGTGGGGGGGCGAGTGGGGGGCGAGTGGGGGGCGAGTGGGGGGCCAGGGGCGCACCCGGAGAGGAGGAGGCCGGAGGCGGCGTGGTGGCAGAGCGCCGTCACCTCCGCGCGATGGCCGCGCAGATGCGCCTCCGCTGCCCACCGCCGCTTCCACGATGGCTTGGCGGGCGACGCCATTGGCGGAGCGGATGGACGATGGCGGTTTGACGCTACCGGTCCGGTCGATCGACGTACACTTGCCTGTGATGTGAGGATCTACGCGCGAGGATAGAGAGGCGCATCAGGGTAAAAGCTGCTGTGCTTGGGGATTTAAGGGGCGACAGCTAACAGAAAGGTGGACGGGACAATTATAAAGGCGTGGAACGTGAGATTCGAAATTCGGAAGGCGTCTCGAACGAAATTTAAGTTCGTACAATTTGTACGGTTTAGGCAAAACCTGTACAAAACAAGACTCGACGTTATCGTCGGAAGGGTTGCGTAGGCGCCACCCACCCCAACAGAAAGACACCAGAAAAATGCACCATACTATATGAAGCAACAAATATGTTCCTATTTATAACGGGATTCTTAGTTCCTCATTACAAAATACGATAAACATTATTTTCTCGCGTTTGAGCGTTAGTTAATGGGGACTGATTTAGAGATTGATATTCTACTTGTTCTAATCATTTTTTAAAAGGTGTGTGTTTTTACCTACATCTGATTATTTGAAATATCATAGTTGTTTAGTGAGTTTGTTTATTTGCAGGTAACTCTGATGTTCGCGGATGGCGTGGTCACACGCGTGTTGTCACGTGGTACAGTTCCAAATTCAATGTGTGCGTTTTGTTTTGTCACGTGCCCGTGAATTTAGCTTGCAATTCGCCGCATCATCATAACAATGTACGCTTATTTTAAAGCGACGGGCAACTTTTGGCAGTGTTGGGTTCAGAAGTTTTTTTTTTGAACCAGGCTTGCCAGCGCGAAAGTGCTGGCTGGCGAAAACCAGGATTTCGTGCGGACACTTTCCATCCGCAGTAACAGTTCGCCAGGGTTCTGGGTTTTGGGTGGCAAATGTGCACCGTCGCTTTAAAACCCATTTCTTGCCTGGTTTTGCTCTGGCAGAAAAAAACCTTGCAAGCGCCACACATTTCCAACCACTCTTTTTTTTGCCAGCGCCTCAGATCCTTCCGTTCTCCCGCTGTCAACTCAAATTCTCCGCTGACTTGGATTCTTGAATTTGAGCACCTGCTCTACTCTGCTCCCTCTGCCTGTCACTTCGGTACTGTGCGCTATGTTCCGTTTCCCTTCCCAGCTGTCAATTCGAACTCCTCCTCCTGCTCTCTCTGCCATTTTCTCCCAACCCACCATCGCCCATCCTCTTGTCTAGCTATCATCCAGCTATCGCATTTTACTAACACCCAGCCGTCGCCTCTCCCTCTTATCCCGTAGTCGCCCCTCCCTCCTACCCTGCCGTCCCAATTCCCTCCCATCCCGCCGCCACCTCTCACCCTGTCATCGCCTCTCACTCCCACCCCCCTGTCGCCTCTCCCTCACTCCCCGCCATCGCCACTCCCTCCTATCCCGCCATCTCCACTACCTCCCACCCCGCCGTCGCCACTCCCTCTTATCCCGCCTCCGTCTCTTCTCCCATCCGGCCGCCGCCTCTCCCTCCTCCCCGCCGTCGCCTCTCCCTCCTCCCCGCCGTCGCCTTTCCTTTCTCCCCGCCGTCGCCTCTCCCTCCTCCCCGCCGTCGCCTCTCCCTCCTCCCCGCCGTCGCCTCTCCCTCCTCCCCGCCGTCGCCTCTCCTTTCCTCCCCGCCGTCGCCTCTCCCTCCTCCCCGCCGTCGCCTCTCCTTTCCTCCCCGCCGTCGCCTCTCCCTCCTCCCCGCCGTCGCCTCTCCCTCCTCCGCGCCGTCGCCTCCTTCACTCCTCGTCGTCGCCTCTTTTCCCCTCCCCGCCGTCGCCTCTCCCTCCTCCCCGCCGTCGCCTCCGGCGGCAGGTGCACGAGCGCAAGCGCGAGTGTTGGTGCGCGAGCGCGGGTTGGTGCGCCAGCGCGGGTTGTTTTCTGAAACACCGTGATTATCAGGTGCGTTCCCGGTCCTTTCATCCTCCCTTCCCCCACTGAATTCTCCTCCCCCCCTCCCTCCCCTCTTTTTTGTTTTCTTTGCTCTCTTCGTAAAGTTTTTGTGTAGATTGGTCTCCTCTCGCATTGCACTTTCATTTGAAGAAGGGGAGAGACGGAGCGCGAGGGAGAGCATGTACACGGGAGCGAACACGCAGGAAAGCGCGCGTGAGAGTGCGCGTGAGAGAGCGCACGAGAGAGCGCACGAGTGAGCACGTGAGGGAGCGCGTGAGAGAGCGCGTGCGAGTGAGAGTGCTCCTGAGAGTGCGCGTGATAGAGCGCGTGAGAGAGCGCATGCGCGTAAGGGAGCGCGTGCGCGTGAGAGAGCGCGTGCGCGTGAGAGAGCTCGTTAGAGTGCGCGTGAGAGAGCGCGTGAGAGAGCGCGTGAGAGTGCGGATGAGAGTGCGCGTGAGGGAGCGCGTGAGAGTGCGAGTGAGAGTGCACGTGAGAGTGCACGTGAGAGTGTAAGTGAGAGTGCGCTTGAGTGAGTGCGTGAGAGAGAGCACGTGAGGGAGCACGTGGGAGAGCGCGTGGGAGAGCGCGTGAGTGAGCGCGTGAGACGCGTGAGAGAGAGCGCGTGAGAGAGAGCGCGTGAGAGAGCGAGTGAGACGCGTGAGAGAGTGCATGAGAGTGCGCGTGAGAGAGCGCGTGAGAGAGCGCGTGAGAGAGCACGTGAGGGAGCGCGTGAGAGAGCGCGTGAGAGAGCGCGTGAGGGAGCGCGTGAGAGAGCGCGTGAGAGAGTGCGTGAGAGAGCGCTTGAGAGAGAGCGTGAGAGAGCTCCAGAGGGAGCGCGTGAGAGAGAGCATGAGAAAGAGCATGAGAGGGCGCGTGAGAGAGCGCGTGAGAGAGCGCGTGAGAGAGCGCGTGAGAGTGCGTGTGATAGAGCGCGTGAGAGAGCGCATGAGAGAGTGCGTGAGAGACGCGTGAAAGCGTGCGTGAAAGCGTGCGTGAGAGAGCGCGTGAGAGAGCGCGTGAGAGAACGCGTGAGAGAGCACATGAGAGAGCGCGTGAGAGTGCGCGTGAGAGAGCGCGTGAGAGCGCGTGAGAGACGCGTGAAAGCGTGCGTGAGAGCGCACGTGAGAGAGGGCGTGAGAGAGCACGTGAGAGAGCGCGTGAGAGAAAGTGTGAGAGAGCGCGTGAGGGAGCGCGTGAGAGCGTGTGAGAGCACGTGAGAGAGCCCTGAAAGAGCAGGTGAGAGAGCGCGTGAGAGATTGCGTGAGAGAGTGTGTGAGAGAGCGCGTGAGAGAGTGCGTGAGAGTGCGTGAGAGAGTGCGTGAGAGAGTGCGTGAGAGAGTGCGTGAGAGAACGCACGAGAGAGCTTTATGAGCACGCTGGGGCATATGCACTAGCATCTATTCTGCTGGTGCTTGGGCAGCTGGGACTACTTATGCAAACGAGTGTCGCTTTCTACACTAGTGTTTAGTGTGTCGGCTTCTAAGGTGTTTGCTTCTCTGTTTTTGCTGTGTGCATGCCGTGTGTGTGTTTGCTTCTCTGTTTTTGCTGTGTGCAGGCCGTGTGTGTGTTTGCTTCTCTGTTTTTGCTGTGTGCAGGCCGTGTGTGTGTTTGCTTCTCTGTTTTTGCTGTGTGCAGGCCGTGTGTGTGTTTGCTTCTCTGTTTTTGCTGTGTGCAGGCCGTGGTGTGTTTGCTTCTCTGTTTTTGCTGTGTGCAGGCCGTGTGTGTGTTTGCTTCTCTGTTTTTGCTGTGTGCAGGCCGTGTGTGTGTTTGCTTCTCTGTTTTTGCTGTGTGCAGGCCGTGGTGTGTTTGCTTCTCTGTTTTTGCTGTGTGCAGGCCGTGTGTGTGTTTGCTTCTCTGTTTTTGCTGTGTGCAGGCCGTGTGTGTGTTTGCTTCTCTGTTTTTTCTGTGTGCAGGCCGTGTGTGTGTTTGCTTCTCTGTTTTTTGCTGTGTGCAGGCCGTGTGTGTGAACTTCTCTGTTTTCGCTTTGTGCAGGGCGCGTGAGCTGAGAAGGGAGATGAGGGAGGGAGTGGGAGGGAGATGAGGGAAGGAGGGACGGAGGGGTGTAGGGAGGGTTAAGGGAGATCAAGGTAGCGATGGTTTATTAATTGGTGAACTTCATTGGCTATGCTTGCATGCTTAGTATTAGCTGTATGTTTCTGCGTGTTTTTCTCTCTGCGTATGTGTGTGCGTACATGTAGGCTATGTAGTTGTGTGGCTCTGTTTCGGGGTGAGTGCTAAGTGCCTCGTGTATACAATTGCGGTTGTGATCGTTGGTGGGGCAGCTTTGGTTGCCTCTTCCATACCAGATCAATCGCAGTTGCATTAACGATGCATTCTAGCATTAGCTTCGAAGCACTCACAACTGGTGTTTCTCGTTTTTGTACAAGTTCGTGTGCTGTCGTTTGGGTCTGTTTTGGGGTGGTGCTAAATGCATCATGTATGCAACTGGGGTTGTCATCGTCGGTGGGGCAGCTTTGCTCGCCTTTTCCGTACCATATCAATCTCAGTTGCAGCATTGATGCATTCATGTATCAATCTCACAAATGTTCATGATTTCAGCATGTGGTTTTTGTACATGTTCGTGTCCAACCAATTGTTCCATTCGCCGTACTTATCGACGACTATGGAATTATCGGTTACATTTGGTTTCACATTTTTGGGGCAACTAAAAAATTGAACAGTAATTTTTTCCCAAACGGGCAGGGAAAAATCACTGTTCACGGTCAGTTCCCCAAAAAGTGAAACCAAATGTATAAGGTTGCTACGCAACCCAAAAATCGGACTGGTAGCGTCGTTTAGGACGTGATGGGGGCGATCTGAGGCTGACTGTGATTGATCGCATCGAGAAGCCTCGATCTGTGACAATCTGCGATATTTCCCGCTCCACGCGATCTGGCGGGATAAGGGTGCGTCACCTCCCTCGATCGATCGCGGGATCGCTCTAAAAAACCGACCGGCACACCGATCGCAGGGTCGGGGCAAGATTGGTAGGAGGTGACAGCAGCTTTGCGATTGCGGTTCGATTTCGAGACCATGGGAAAAACCCATCGATCGTGAAAAAACCCAGATCGGTGTGGGCACGAAAGCACATCGATCGTCACAGAAGGAGGTGACAAGATTTTTGGTCCCCCTTTTCTTGTACATTCTCGACTCTCCACGAATCTGGTGACCCTGTGAATTGCGAAGCTACAGTTGAATTGTAGCTGTCACTCGATCGATCGGGGGCAGGATCGTTCGATTGATGGGACTCCCTAATTTTGAAGGGAATTGTACCGGCTTTTACCTAATGCATGCATATTTTGCTAGTGCAAGTTTACAAATGCATGCAATAGACGGTTCAGGGAAAAATGTCGGCCTGTCGGCAAAACCATGCGGTTACCCGTGTTTAGGGTTGAGGCTCCCCCAGTCGCATGCCATCCAGATGGGTTTTATTTTTTTCTGACCGCGGGCAGATAACAGTCCGTCAGCCTCTTTCCCCTACGGCCGTCTATTGTATGCATCTGCATAATCGCACTGGCATAAGTTGAATGCCGTTGAAAATGGACCGAATTGTACGCACCATCACACATGTTTCCATGCTGGAGCCACATTTCATCCACACAAAAATTTGCGAGATTCAGTGAATCTCCTTACCACGCGATTACATTGTAACCCTCTTCTGTCACCTGCATGTCTTCGCACAGAGCTATTGACATGGGCCCAATCGACTTTGATCGGCTCTGATCTGATCGGGTCGGATTAGGCATGAGCACAGGACTGAACCGGTTCGGTTCGGTAATTAGGCTTGCCGAATCGGGCCGGTTCGTTACGGAACCGAACCGGTTCGTTTACGAACCGGTTTCTGGCACCCCGGTTCGGGGTTCGTTATTTCGTATAACGAACCTAACCGGTTCGGTAAGCTACATGTAATTGGCCTATATTTTTGTTATGTATTTCCGCGGGTGGAACCAACCCTATTCCTAAACGATCGAATGAAGGTGAGTTTCCGCGATAAACAATTGGTCTATATCTAAAAAACCGGCCGTCTTTGTCGTGATTCTCACCCACTAAGGAAAAATAAACACTATGCTGGATGTTGTTTAGAAAGTAACAGTGGGAATGCTGGGAAAACATGGAGGGAGAGGTCGCGATCTAGACTAGGAGAGTTGGAGTTCGATATCAGCTCCAACTCTCTTTTCTTTCTGGTAAAAACGAACCCCCGCGCCACGAGCCGTGGCGGGGTCCCGTAAACGAACCGAAGGGGCTTCGTTTAAGAACCCCTACCTTTACGAACCGATTTGGTTTGGCGCGACTCGGAAAGGTCTACCGAACCTTACCGAGCCAGCGAACTGGTTCGTTCTCGAACCGGTTCGGCCCGTTCACGAACCGTGTCCCAAAAATCCCGGTTCGGTTTGCCCTTTAAGCGAACCGAACCGAACCGACCGCGGTTCGTTTTTTTGCTAATGTCTAGATCGGATCTGATCGGGTTACTTGTGATCGCATTGCTCGAGCCGCCTGATCAGAGATGTTTTTTTCCAAGAATATTCACAGCACCTGCTAGGCGCTGAGAAAAGCCTTGGGATATTTTAGAGTTTAGTCTCTGTAAAGTATTGCAGCGGAAGACTTGAATTCCAGTGCTGGAAATTTGTGAGAACAAGAATTGAATAATAGAGAAGACATATACGAGATTTATAGTCTACGAAGTACCTATTCAGAGATGTACCTGTGTCAAATTGTATTTGTTATCTCTAGGCTGTAGTGGGGCATACCCTAAAGGGTACAACACTTTAGGGTTAGGTAGTACTTGTACTCATCCTTGCTACCTAGTCCATCATTCCTACGTTCCTACTTCTGACATGGTATTCATAGCGGGTCCTTCGTAGGACCGCTCCGTTAGGGCCCACCGCTAGTTTAGACCTTCCCGAACTGCCCGCACTGCCCGTACTGCCCTGCCGGAACTGCCCGTACAGCCCTGCCCTGCTTGCGCTGCCCCGCACGCTCTGCCCTGCCCGTCGCGCTGCCCACTTGCTGCCTAGCGCTCGACCCACACGCTGCCCTGCTCGCGCTGCCTGCATGCGCGCTGCCTGAGGCCTACGCGCGCCCTGCCCGCACGCTGCCTGCGCTGCCCGCGCGCTGCCTGCGCCTTCCGCGCGCTGCTGCTGCTGCCCGCGCACTGCGTTCCCTGCCCGCGCGCTGCCTGCCTCGCTCGCGCGCTGCCTGCACCGCCGGCGCCTTGCCCGCGCACCGCGCGCCCTGCTCGCGCACTACCCGCACGCCGCTGGCGCCGCTCGCGCGCTGCCCTTAAGGCCCGTGCTGCTCGCGCTCTACCCGCACAGCCCGCGCGTGGCCCTACGCGCGCTGCCTGCACGCGCCCTGTACACGCTGCAGCTACTGCTAAGCTGCTGCCGCTGCTGCTGCCGGCGCCGCGCTGCCCCACCGTGCCCGAGCCGTGCCGCACCACCCGAGCCGCGCTGCTCTGCCGAGCCGCGCCGCCCTGCCGAACCGCGCCGCCCTACCGAGCTGCGCCGCGCTGCCTAGCTTGTCAAACATTATATGTTTACATTGTGTAGGCTATAGTGGGTTTAGCCTTAGGGGGTACAACAAACTTAGGGTTTCCTACTTGTACCCAACTTTCTGCTAGTTCATTCATTCTCGTTCACTTCTAGTTTCTAACATGGTATCCGACGCCTAGGTCAGGACCTAGGACAGACGTTGGTTTGGGCCCACCGTTCCGCCGCGCCGTTGAGCGCCCCTGCTAGCGCCGTCGAGCGCCCCTACTAGCGCCGTCGAGCGCCCCTACTAGCGCCGTCGAGCGCCCCTTCTAGCGCCGTCGAGCGCCCCTACTAGCGCCGTCGAGCGCCCCTACTAGCGCCATCGAGCGCCCCTTCTAGCGCCGTCGAGCGCCCCTTCTAGCGCCGTCGAGCGCCCCTACTAGCGCCGTCGTTCAAAAAAAAAAAAAAAAAAAAAAAAAAAAAAAAAAAAAAAAACCGTCGTCCTTGCGGGCTGCCTCTAGCCCGTCGCGTCGCCCTTGCGGGCTGCCTTAGCCCGTCGCGTCGCCCCTGCGGGCTGCCCTAGCCCGTCGCGTCGCCCCTGCGGGCTGCCTTAGCCCGTCGCGTCGCCCCTACGGGCTGCCCTAGCCCGTCGCGTCGCCCCTGCGGGCTGCCTTAGCCCGTCGCGTCGCCCTTGCGGGCTGCCCCTGCCCGTCGCGTCGCCCTTGCGGGCTGCCTTAACCCGTTGCGTCGCCCCTGCGGGCTGCCTTAGCCCGTCGCGTCGCCCTTGCGGGCTGCCCCAGCCCGTCGCGTCGCCCCTGCGGGCTGCCTTAGCCCGTCGCGTCGCCCTTGCGGGCTGCCCCAGCCCGTCGCGTCGCCCTTACTGGCTGCCCTAGCCCGTCGCGTCGCCCTTGCGG